TTTTGACACATACTAGGTGAATTTCGTTATTTTGAAATATTTACAGCGCTGCCAAATTTCAATAACTTAGGAATGCATTCATCAAAGACTAAAAATGCGTTCACTATTTAAGTGCAAGTAAAAGTATGAGAAAATGGTTTTTTTTATTACAATGTCGTTTCTATGGTAACCGCTTCTGGAACAGTAAATTTAAGAACAGCCGTAGTTTCTTCATATTTTTTTTGTATAAAACCTTAGGTAGACATTACCCCACATTTTCCGTCCAACTACCATCAATATAATTGCATGGGATGTCCGAGTGTTCTGTAGCCGATGGTCCTTGAAGCCGGTCCACCAATTCATTGCTTTTTCCGCATGGGATTTCCTGTTCTAAGTCATACTGGTAGCCAATTCAGGAATTATTTTGTATTTGCCACTATATTGCCACAGGTTAGGTATATTTTCTAAAGTAACAGCGTTTCCTGGAAATTTCGAGCCAACTCAAGGTGTATTAAAAGCTTTTTGTGTGCTGATCTGCATTGCCATGAGTTCGTATAGTTTTAAAGCGTCCATGATGGGAAATCATGGATGGTCTGGGAAGAATTTGTATGCTGTTAAAAATAAAACCATTAATGAGCGCTATGCATTGATACTAGTAGACTTAGAACGCCTGTATTAGATTGGCATTTTGTTAAAGGTACATTTTCATGGTGAATTCTTGTCTCGTCCTTTTTTAAGATTCTTTTTTGTTGAATTTTAATACTCAACGAGGTGAAGTAACAACTTGCCCCAACTGAGCAAGTATTTTGTCGGCGTATTTGCTATGTAACGGTTTCTTAAAACCGCAATAATTAAAATTTCGCGAATTTAAAATGTCAAAGATATCATCACAACATCGTTATGCACTCAGTAGTATCAGCAGAATCTTGAAATTCTGGCAGCAATATGCCCCGTAAGCTTGTTGACAAGATGCAAATATTTTTTTTCTTGTAATTTACGGAGATCTGCAAAAAGTTTCCATTTAATTGGTTTTTTACCGGAATTGACAGAATTATAAAAATAATTTTGTTTTGCTTCCAGGGATTTTTGGATGCTTATCGCAAAGAAAAGACAAGTTAATTGTAATTCCATAAAAAAAAACAAAACAAAAAATATTTACGGGATTATGAAAATTCAGGCATATGTTATTTTGATTAAATGTGTTTCCGGACTACATCAAAGCGACTCTATAGAATTTTGGTTCTAAATGTTACGATTGCTCGTGGAAATTGACATGAAAAATGAAATTTAAAAAATGAAAAATACTTTATTTGTACCATCACAAACTACAAAATTCTTGTCACATATATTAATAAATACTAGTTGTATTAGCTAATTATAGTTTGTGAGGAAGCTGGAATCTAAACTAGGTCGAAACCTGTGCTATAGCTTCCAGGCCCCCCCCCCCCCCCCCCCCC